GATCAATAAAAAGTTACAAGGATGCTGGAACTTATATTATGCTGTGAATAAATTTGGTGCAAATGGAGGGGTTGTGCTAATGTAAATAAACAAGCCCCCAGTACCATTCTGACATTTTGCTGTATTCAGGCATAAATATAAGCTGTTTGCAGAGCCTCAGTTAAGTGAGGGAGGCTCTGATAATGGTACCTTTCCCTCTCCCCCTTCAAAAGTAAGTGAAAACTTTCAAATCATGTAAAAGCAGGAAAAGCAGGACACAAGGACACATCAGGCTGCAATTTTCAGTGCTGCTATATATATATATATTTGAATCTTTATGACTCCTTCTGTTTCATTTCAGGTGGGATTTCTGCCTACAATGCTGGTTCTGGGAATGTCCGAAGCTATGAAAGGATGGACATTGGAACTACCCATGATGACTACGCCAACGATGTGGTTGCTCGAGCCCAGTTTTATAAGCTACATGGATACTAGACTTGGGAATCTTCTTGACAGAGCAGGTTCTTTACCACTACTTACCTAACACCCCTGAGGAAGACAAAGTGCAAGGGAAGAAGATGCTTCTGCCAGTCCTGCATGTAGCCATATATTCTGCAAATCCATATCGATACAAATTTACAGGAATGATTTACATGAATAAGAACTTGCAGATTAAAGTCCCAAGTTTTTAAAACAGTATTCAGTAAAACACTGACCATGTAGTTCCTTTAAAAATGATATATTTTAGATTTTACAAAAAAAAAAAAAGCAGAATGTTATAATATTTTATGCTATCTCTGTATTTCTCCGAGTTATAAGGACTATTTTGTTATGCTATTGATAATTTGTTGGCTTCCAAATCTTTAAACACATCTATGTCAAAATCTGTCATTCTCTCAAGAAATCAGAAAGAGAAAAGTAGTTTTTTGGAGACTGAACTTGGATTTCTATACTCATATTTTCTTCTGTGTTAGTAAAGTTGGAAGGACAATGCTAATTTTAGGTAGATAAACAATCTGAGAAAGAAACAGGATGAAATATATACTTCTGCTTCAGAAAAACCTTTCCTTTTTTTCCCTCTGCTGTCAAAGTCTTTACACTCCTGCTGTGTAAGAGTGATACTCAATAAAATATCAGTGTGTGTTTGGCATACTTGCTGCTCCTAATACTTCTAGACCTGAAAATGAACTTTTTTTTTTTTTTTTCAGAGTCTGGGGTGTAGAAGGTGGAAAGRCAAGGAAAAGAGAGGGGTAGATACCAGAAAGTGTGAATAACTGTCATTTTCCAGGACCATAGGAACAGCTGGTTTTGATCTACCAGCAAGCAATGCAGGCTGTGGCTTTTCTACTAGCATCAACTTGTTTGGGAGGGAATAATCTTTATTCTTGATGTGGATTTTTTTCACAGAGTGGAAAAAACTATGTCAAAAAATAGTAAAAAATTGCAGTCTGCAAGAGTCTAAAAAGAGCACGAAAATGTAATCCAAGGCCATTAGCAGTGCACCGAGTTATGGTTCACATGGAGAAGAGTGAGACATAGAGACCCTGCTGCAGACATCCAGCATGGAATTACAGAGAGTAAATAATGCTTGGCCAACTCTTTACCTTTGGTGCTGAGATGATTGGCCTTATGGAAGAGACGGAGCAGTGGATACTGTATGTCTTCACCAAGGAAAGTCTCTGACACAGTCTCCCATAGTATCTTTATGACCAGATTGTACAGACATGGACTGAAGAGGCAGACAATAAAGTGGGTGTAGAATTGACTGGACTAATGGGCTCAGAGAACCATCATAAAGTCCATCTGGTGGCCAGTGACTAGTGGAATTCCACTGGAGATAGTCCTGTTTAGTATCTTCATGAACACTCATGAAGTCTTCATGAACATACATGAACTGTATCCAGTTTGGGCTCCCTAGATAAAGAGGGATGTAAATAGGCTGAAGCAAATTCAAGGGAGGCCACAAGGTTGGTTGGGTGCTGGAGAACAGGATATATGGGAGGAAGCTGAGGGACCTGGGCCGTTAGACCTRGAGACAAAGTGGCCTTGACAGGACATTATTGCCAGGACCCAGACTGCACCAACAGGTTCTGCAACCTCTATCCATTCTCCTAGCGGTCTGGCTGCCTGGTTCAAAGTAGACAGTCASGAGGGGGAAAGGAGCAAAAATGGTGAAGGAGCAGGTACACACACATAAATATAGAAATACAGCCCAATTTGGGGCTTTCATTTTAAGCAGAAATATACTTCAGTTTTGCTAATGATAAGGAGAAAGGCTTCTATTGTACTTCATGAGGTCATGAACCAGGCTTCCAAGATACTTGAGAAGTTATCTGAAGTCTTTACTCAGTTTTGTAAGATCTAAGTCTTGCAGAAACGAACTTATTGCAACAGGCACCAACATTGTGCAAYTTATGTAAGATTCCACTATCAGTCCTATTAGTACTCTCCAGTGGGTCCTTAATGCCTGTTGATATGAGAAGGAGAACTTCTGCAAAAACTATGGTGAGGGGGCRGGGATCAAAATACTGAAATTTATGTTTCAGCTAGTTCCCTTTTACAGCCACCACTTCCTTCCTTTGGCACTTTGTTGGATTGACGTTATAGGAATCTATCCGTCTTTTTATTGTTTAAATATTAAGGTATAAAGTCAAGCTTTGCTATGCTGGTGTAGCATATAACTTATAAACTTATCAATTTATAATTTATTAGCTTATAAAGTTAGTTCCTTAAAGATAAACTGTTACTTGAGGAAATAATTATTCATGTATCATGAATAGTAAAGTTTACTGAAGGAACTATACTACCTAAAAAATACATGGGAAAAAGGAGAATGGTTCTACCTGGTTCAAGAAAATTTAATCTCATGTGCATACTGAGAGAGYTAGGATTATGYCATGTGTACTTTTAAAACAAGAAGGCAGCAGTGAGACRTTTCAAGGGTAACTCGCTCAGAATATTTATCATAAGTAGACTGTTGTGATTCTTCATGAAATACAAAAAGGGCTTAAGATTTTTATGTTGCTTTATCATTGTTTTGTATTAAAATGGTCATGCTTGACCTCCTTTACCTTCCGTGTCTTTCTCTTTTACTGAGAGGATTTCTGTTAAACTTATTTCAAGACACTAAATAGYAGGTTACTAGAGTAGAAAAGAGACTTGTCTTTTTAATTAGGGAGAATTCATTAATGCAGTTCTGACCTTCTCATTCAGTGTCTCCGTTTCACTGGTTCTCTGGTCATCAGAAACTCTGCYGAGCTAGGAAGGACTCACACTTCTAAAAAAAAACACAAGCAAATATTGAACTAGTAGAAAATCAAGCCCAGCTTTATGATTAAAGATCAGCTGAATATCCAACAGTTAAACAGAGTTTCAAAATAGCCAAATCCTTGCAGCATGATGCTTAAAACAGCATGTTATTCAGTACTTCTTCCTCTGTTTCGTCTTTAATTGGAAATGCTTCAGCACCTCCGKCCTGGGCTGTGTGATATAGGATTAACTTTCTTTTCAGAGGGAAACAGGGCCATGGCTTACCATGGGGAATTTGGACGGGGAGTCTGGAACATAAGCAGTTATTTGGGCACGTCCAAGGCTGCCCCAAGCTGAGACAGTGCCTGCTCCATTCGGACATACCGGCAAGCGCAGCTTAGGGATTGCTGCCTCAGGGACCAGCAAGGGCCCGACACCTCTGCTGCAAAGAGCCCTGACAGAAGTTGCAGCTGGTCTTCTGACTTGGCAGCCGGGCTAAAGACTTCAGCCTGTGGCAGCCCTCCCAGCGCATCTGTGTGGGAACCTGCTTCGTGCCACATGCGTCCTCTCTTGGACACTGCAACACGGCTCTGCCATCACCTCCCAGTCAACCCAACACAAGGTTGGYAAGGGCAACTTTTCCCAGGTCCTGTGAGGTAATGTGTGTCATTAAGACTCTAACATCCATACAGGACTCCAAGAAACACGTGAGGAGAACCAGCTGCCTTGGTCACTGGGGCACAGAAGCAGCAAACCAGAAGATCCCTTAGTGCTGTCTCTTGGCAGCGCTGGAGCTGCAGCACAGGCCATTTGGAGATTACTGCTATACAGCATACCAGTATATGGTACTGGTATACTTTGAACTTTTAGCACTTGTCAGCATTTCTTTATTTCACTTCTGCATGAACATTTCTGCTCCACACTCATTCCTGTCAGAGGTCCTTCCTTGGGTTGCAATTTTCTCTAAATTTGTTTGCAATCTTGAGCACTTGCTGGGTTCCCGAGTTCCCCCATGCAAGGGGCTGCTGTGGCTTTTTGCAGACAGCTCTTGATGTGAAGTATTAACAGTGTTGGAGAAAATGCTAGACTGAATCTTTCCGCGATACAGCATGGGACAAATCCCCTGGCAYAGGGCTGCTCAGAGGAAGGAAGGGCATTTCACCCTCATAACGTTCACAGAATTACACAGAATCAGAGAGGGGTTGAGGTTGGAAGGGACCTCTAGAGATCATCTAGTCCAACCCTCTGCTCCAGCAGGGACACCCAGAGCRCGGGGCACAGGGCGSCATCCAGGTGGGTTTGGAGACCTCSAGAGAAGGAGACTCCACAACCTCCCTGGGCAGCCTGTGCCAGGGCTCTGTCATCCTCACAGGAAAGAAGCTCTTCCTCACATGGAGATGGAGCTGCCTGTGCTTCAATCTGTGCCCATGTTCACCGTGGGGAGATGGCTGCCGTGTGGGCGGGCAGTGACAGGCAGCCCTGCGTGTTCAGCGTGCAGGGGATCTCAGTGGGGACGCTCCATAGTCTCTGCAAAAGCCAGCTCCTCGCGCCTGCAGCTCGGCACCGCCACACAGCCGAGCTCRGCTCCCCGCTCTCGGTGCTCCTTTGCTTCCTGCAGCTGGTGGGGGTGGCCAGTCCACGGAACGCTTCCCGTTCCGCGTAAAACCAGCAGYGCGTGGGAAGTGCCGGGACCAGACGCTGCCAGCAGCTAAAGCGCCGCTCGCCCCCTCGGGAAGCGCCCCAAGGAGCGGGACAGGCGCAGTCCCGCAGGCATGTCAGGTCCGTGGCCTCCGTGTGCTCCCGGCACCGCATCCCGGCACCAGGCCCGCCTCCCACTACGCGCTGGGCTGAGCAGCCTGGCTCCCTTTGCTCCCTGCCCTGCAGCACCCGCTCCGGCAGCACAAACCCATAACCGCGAGCCTGCCGAGTCGCCATCAGCCAAATGATAAGCATTTATGGGAGGTTTCTGCTTGATTTCTCCCTGATGCTAGTAGCTAGGGAAAAGCCAGCCAGAGCCAGTGACTGCRGTAGGATTTGGGCACCAATAGTATATTTTTTATTTTGTGAATTATTTTCTCCGCACCACTGAGATGTGCCCCCTGCAGAAGCAGCCACTGAGTCTGCCCTGCTTGCACGGGCACCCATCAGCATCAGCCATGGATCTGAAAGAAATATTACTGCACACTGCTCTGGTCTGGCATTTCATCCCGAATGCTGCTTTTTAGGCCCTTCTGGATGCTACGGGGACATAACGAAGGTTGACACCACYGGAGCCTCCAAAGAAACGGCAGCACAGGAAGGCCTGACCTATGGAGGTRAGTACGGATCCGTGTGCTCACCTGCCTCACAGCCACACACGGGCTCCTGCCTGCTACAGGGACAAGTATCTGAGTGTCACTCATTGCCAAGCAAGCAGATATTTCCACAACAAAAAATCCCATCCCAGGTCTGTAGGATGACAAGTTGCCTTGGGGAGGTTCTAAGGAACACTCAAGTACGCGGCAGAGAAAGCACAAGGCCTGAGGGATATTCACTCCTTGTCATCCAGCTGGTTTTCTCTCTACCTCAGAAGGGCTTCCCTCAAGCTCTAAATTTCTAAATATATAAATCTAAATATATATAAATATAAATCTAAATATATATAAATATAAATCTAAATATAAATATCTTCTGGAATGGATCCATCCAGTCCTGGATTTAAAAAAGTAAAAGGCAAAGCCTTCTCCAAGCCTGTAGACTGAGGAACTGCCCTCTGTCCACCTTTTTTCTTAGTTGCATAATGACTTCTACTCACCCTTTGGCAAAATCAGCCAAATCTATTTTTGCTTCTCTCCAAACAGATTCTAAAGGATCCAAAACGCCAGCTCCAACCTTATAACTATTAGGACAATTTGTCTGTAAATTGTCTCCAATTTGTAGAGAATTTGCAGTTTTTAAAAACTAAAGTCATGCACGCTGTGTTGCAGGAGTTCCCGCTTCGGAGAAGATCGCTGAAAGAGATTTGAAGAATATGGAGAAATATCAACCCAAGATTACAAGAGCTGGCCAAAGCYTCGGCGTGGATCCTGCAGTGATTGCTGGTGTTATCTCTCGAGAGTCGCATGCAGGGACGGTGCTGAAGGACGGCTGGGGAGACCACGGAAATGCATTTGGCTTAATGCAGGTACAGTTGCTACTCTTAGAAACTTCATTCTTTTGAAGCAGAAGGTTAGAGGAGTAACAGGGGCCTAAACTGATCAAAACATCAGGTTCAGCTGAGYGAAAATGTGCGTCTCTTCTGAGGCAGGAAGTACAGAGTGGGGATTTRGCAAGGGAGCATCACAACCTGCCCTGTTCTTCATCTCAACCTCTCACCCCATTTAAAACCTGGAATTACGGCTGGTTATAGTCAGTTAAATCACTTAGGAACAGCAGGAGGAGCCTGGCATACTCCCCTTCTGAGGAAAGGCAGTWCAGCACTGAGAGAGATGGAAAGAAAAGGTAGAGGAGAGGAAATGCCACACAAAGCACCATGCTGCCAGATGTTCAGCTTCTCATAAATTAAAGTGCTTTGTGAAATACAAGAAGCCTTGACAGCTTTATGCCCTGGCAGCCCAGAAGGCTGCAATGTCTGCCCAAAAGGTTTCTTTCCTTTCCCCAGCATTCCTCAGACAGCTATTTGCTAGGATAAAATTGGCACTAGCCCAACTGTCAGCACAAGGGGAAAGATCCCAGATAAAATTAGGACGTGAACAGGCTGCACAAACCTATCGTGCTGCTTATTTCCCAGAGCTCTCTTGGGAATGAAGAGATTAATTGCTCCTATTCCATACTTTAGAGAATAAATCTTGTTTCCAAAAGCTTTTCCTAACTAAGAGATGAAAGGTCAAAATAAAAACAAGCCATTTGCACACAATGAAGGTCTCTGGATAATAACGGAGGTTTTGGTGCCTTGATATTCCTGTCCAACTTCCAGGTTGATAAACGTTTCCATAAGACTGTTGGGTCATGGGACAGCGAAGAGCATATTACACAAGGCACGACGATCTTGTGTGGGATGATAAAGGAAATCCAGAAGAAATTCCCCACATGGACAAAGGAGCAGCAGCTCAAAGGTAAAGAAAGAGTTTTCTCAGCTTTAAAATGGCAGCTTTAAAACACTTCATGCACATAAAAGTTAAGCATRATAATTCTGTAAACCTGAGCAGTTTAGAAAGCTAATCACATCCCAGTCTCCCTATTAATTTTACTGCCTGAACATAACACTATTTCATGATATTCACACTGAAATGTGAAACAGGGCAATGAGATGTGATTAGCTTTCCAAGAGGCTTTTGTAAAACTTGGCAAACATCTTTCACCTGTAGAAAGTAACAATTTTTTTTCCTTCTTCTTCTTTCCTACTTATTTTCTCCATGTCTATATGTATCTGTAAGACCAGTTATCCTGGCACTTCCACCAAAAGGATGTATTAATTCCTGAACTGTACAGTCCTCACTGATAGAGATATTATTTCCTTGAGCACCAAGCACAGCTGTTACGGTTGGGGCCCTGTAGCCCAACTACAGCACAGACAAATGTGATATTCCTGGTGCAGTTAGATATAAAGGAATATACACTAAAGGATACAGTGGTACTACCTACATGAGCAGAACACCAGCAAGGGCACAACGATTGCCAAGCCTGAATTTAAAAAAAGAAAATTGTGATTTTCTTTGCAATGTTAAAGCACTAATGGAACACCTTGGGGACAAAAAGAGCTGGAAATGCTAAAGTTGTGGCCAAAAATAGTTGGGAAAAAAAAAAGAACTATAAAATAAAGGAATGCACTTAAGCTGTGAATTTTGTTGGGTCTTATTTACTGGAGCATTCTCTTCTTTATGTATCTGTTTGTTTCGCTTTCATTTCAGGTGGGATTTCAGCCTATAATGCAGGGGTTAAGAATGTCCAGAGCTACGACAGAATGGATATTGGCACCACAAAGAACGACTACGCCAACGATGTGGTCGCAAGAGCCCAATATTTTAAGAGAAATGGATACTGAGAAAGATACCTGAGTACTGATTAGATTTGACTCGCTGCTCAGATACTTTGCTTCCAATTAAAAATACCCTGGCTTGTCCCTAAAGGATATAGAGATGAGGGGAGAGAATGAAGCCAACAACAAGCACAAGCTTTCAGTGATTTTCTCAGCTGAGACTAACAAATCACTTTAAAAGAWAGTATTGCTGATAACTCTTATTGTTTATCACTTATTTTTCATCTTGCTTTGAGAGAAAATTCAAGCAGACCTATCATTTGCATTTTTGGTATCTCAAGCAGGAGACAAATACTCCAAAAAAATAGTCATAACCTTGCTTGACAAGAGCTGTCTTGGATGCTGTGTGTAAAAATTGTGAACATAGTCACCCACTAAGCCTGTACTTTCCATTTTGGTAGTGTTGAAGTAGGCAATTATCTGCAACAAATATTATAGGAGTTTACCAAAAAGAGCTTATCATTTTATATCATCATAGACTTGAAGAATAAACACTCTTGACTCCGTAATGTGGCCTTAAAGTAGCTGTTAGAATTCTGTGTCAGGAGAGAAAATACTAAATTACCATTAAAAAAAAAAAAAAAAAAGAAAATACTTCATTTTTTTGCCAGATGCAAACAACCTGTCAAACTCAAGCTGTTGTAATGAATGCTTTTACTAAAGATATACATATTCATGTAGATTCAAGAGCTAGGATAAGAATATATAGTCCATTACATTTAAAAATCACAAGATGTTTCTAAAATCTGATGCCAGTTCATGCAAAATAAAACTTATTTTAATATTTTAAAGAATCTGGGGAGACACACTGGGATCCCTTTGGCCAAATGAGCCAATTCAAGCCAGAGGGAAGAAAAGTAGGTAGTTTAGAGTAGCCAAAGAAACAAAACCAAAACAACAAATAAAAGCTTATCACTAATGGCTAAAGGAAAAATAAGAAGGAGCAGAGCTTTTGCTATAGGGTGCCTTCTGTATCATTACTACTACTATTCTGTACCTGTCAATTAAAAATAACCTGATTCTATAACTACTTGTATGAAYCCGCTTGTGCCACCGTATTAATTACCAAGTCTGCAACAATAAGTGAACCTGCAAMAGCAGTAGCACAGAAAGAGACTTGATCTTTTATTCTGTCTCCTTCCAGATACTGCACAAAGCTTTTATCTGAATGCAGCACATGTGTGAACACACAAAAGGAGCCRCTGCAAAGACAGAGCCCGGAGCGTGCCGGGAGGGGAGAGACMGCGGCCTGTGTGGAAGCAAGAGGTTCAGGCTGGATACAGGGAAACTTTTGCTCCATGTGGTAGATGAGCAGCAGGCAGGTTACAAAGAGGCTGAGCAGTTTCCATCCATGGAAGTTTTGAAAACCTGCCTAGACAGACCTTGAGCAACCTGGTCAGACCTTAGAGCTGGCCCGGCTTTGAACAGGATGTTGCACTAAAGACCTTCTGAGGTGCCTTCCAATGTGGCTTATTGTGTGATGTTACATCATGGAGTATCTGGAATGCTGTGTCCAGTTCTGGGCTGCCCAGGACAAGAGGGATGTGGAGCTGCTGGAGAGAGTCCAGCGCAGGGCTACCAGGATGATCAGGGGCCTGGAACATCTGCCCTRTGAGCAAAGGCTGAGAGAGCTGGGCCTGTTCAGCCTGGAGAGAGAAGGCTGAGGGGGGACCTGATCAGCGTGTATAAATACCTCAAGGGAGGGAGTGAGGAGGAGGGGGCGGCCTCTTTTCAGTGGTGGACAGCAACAGGACTAGAGGAAACGGCCACAACTGAGGCACCAAAAGTTCCACAGGAACTTAAGGAAAAAACTCTTGACAGTGAGGGTGACAGAGCCCTGGAACAGGCTGCTCAGAGAGGTTGTGGAGTCTCCTCCAGAGATCTTCCAAACCCACTTGGATGCCACCCTGTGCCCCATGMTCTAYGTCACCCTCCATGTGCAGGGGGGTTGGACTACATGATCTCTAGAGGTCCCTTCCAACTTTACAGATTCTATGATTCATTCTATTTAGTCCCTGCATGGAGAGACAGTTTGTCCTGTCTGTGCTTCCTGAGTGACATGAAGGGCAATGCTCTGCCAGTTAAATCAGCCACACACACACACACACGATGTTTGTGCACTCTGGTTGAGCCAGGCTTTGGACACGAGAGCAAATCTTTGGTGAATGTATGTTATGGAGAGAAGGAAAGTATTTGGAAAATACTCATTGCAGATCGACTGCAAGATAGCCCTGGTAGAGGAGTACACACAAACTAAAACACCCAAGCTTACCAATACATTAAGAATTTTAAGAAAACACAATTTCATTTTTTCATGAAATCTGCCAGCTTGTCAATGTATGATAATGTCTCCTGTAGCTAATCTTACCCAGAAATACAGACATTTTCCATTCTCTGTACTTCAGGATTAGCTCTAACCAGACGGATAATCACACCGATTTTAAATTCTGCACAGTACCAAGCAAGCCTTCCCCTATTTTTCTCTTCATTAGTTATGTTTGTCAATTCATACAGCAGGGCTTTGGCAGGTTGTGACACCCGCAGGGTGACAGATTTCTTACCTGCACACACAACGTGTATGACAGCACTGGCAGCGCTCCCTCTGTTGGGGATTCATCAGGCTGCGGTGATGGGGACCCAAACACTGACTGCAGATTGTTGAGAAACTGAGATTTTTTCACTAAAATTTGCATTTCTGCCTTTGGTCTGCCTGTAAGACCCACTAATTCTCTTCAATTCTCTTCTTTTGTCTTATTCTTCTTTCCTCTTCTCCTACACAGAGAAACTCTATGTCCCTCTACTGATGTGACTACTTCTGTGAACTCCTACTGATGTTTACTCTTCCCTGCCAACAAGCAGACAGGATAAACTTTCATTTTCAGCCACTGTAGTCCTCTGATCTTCTCACAACATGCAGTCATTAAGATTAACTTCCCTAGAGCTTCTCTAGCGTGGGAGAGGCTCACAGCTCAGTAACATAGACTTGACACTCACGGGAATGAAAACTACTTTATCAGTCGATAACAGCAGCAGCTTTCTGATTTGGACCACAATTACTGAATTATAAATAGAGATGTTCTTTGGGCTTCCTGCACACTGTACTATTCGAGATCCTTCAGTGAAACGCAATACTTGATGAGCATAYGGCCCATACTTATTAACTTAAAACAAATATGTGATACTTCAGGGTCTCCAGTTTTCTGAAGTCTCCAATGCAAGCACAGGAAAAGCACTCATTTCCACACAAACTATGGCTCTTAGGTTATTATTAGGAAACAAATATGTATGCAGGAACAGAACACGTTTCCCAAAAGACAAGTTATATAAACTACCAAGACTTGAGCCACTCCTGCTGCTCCCAAAGAGAGTTCAGACGGAGCCTCCTGGGCTACAAAGAAGGCCAGCTGACAGACTGTTGGCTCCRTGGCTGTCTCCAGCAATGATCCCCAATCCTTTCTCAGGGCAGAAAAGGTGAAATCATGCACCTTCATTTTAAACCTTTACTGTTAACTGTGAAATGCACTAACCAAGAAAGAAAGCCTGAACAAAGACCGATYAACAAGACTTAAATTTAACACTTGTTCACAAGTAATTTTTTTACATGCCTTTTAAACATCAGGGTCACTTTTGCCATTTGTAGCAGTCAGGTTAATAACAAAGTTAACATATGTACAATTCAAGAGTTCTAATTTATGAGCTAAACTATTTMTTTTATAAAATGTGAGTGCAGCCAGCACACCTCATGGCTCAACTGCTTTCTGTTCAGCAGGTTTAAGGCGCCGCTTAATTACAAGCTCTCCCTTGCTCGTGAGAAGGGTGTCTGACATCTCCTCTTCAGTTGGCAACCCGTGGGGAAGCTTCAGGGGCCGCACTCTACAGGCAAAAGAGTTCACTCAGTAAAGATCTACGACAAAAAAGCTGCATGAAATGTTCCAAATTAAACACTCATTAACAAACCTTATCAGATGTTTAACAATCTTTAGTTTGGAATTCACAGACGGGATATTTTTGTGCAGTCTTGGCTGATGTGCCTATTAAAAAAAAAAGAAGAAAAGAAAACTTAAAATAGGCTTTTCACATGGTATTTCCAAAAACGAAATGTCTGTTCACTGAAATTGCCATACTAGCAGTAAAAATAAAAACCACATATGTAAACATAGCATTTACAGAAATAGCTATCATGTACRAAGAACATACCTAAAAAATGTGAAATCAAGAGTGATCAAACTACTAGCTCCAATAAAATGTAAATTCAGCTCTATGCCCATTATATCATAAATTCATTCAGATTTTCTCAAACTGTGAAAAATATGTGTATGGTAGTAAATAGCTTAGSGGTAAAACAGAATCACAGAATATTCAAGGTTGGAAGGGACCTCTAGAGATCATCTAGTCCAACCTTCCTGCTCAAGCAGACACACCTACAGCATGTGGCACAGGGCGGCATCCAGGCGGGTTTGGAAGACCTCCAGAGAAGGAGACTCCACAACCTCCCTGGGCAGCCTGTTCCACTGCTCTGTCACCCTAACAGGGAAGAAGTTCCTCCTCACCTGGAGATGGAACTGCCTGTGCTCCAGCTTATGGCCATTACCCCTCGTCCGATCGCTGGCCACCAGTGAGAACAGCCTGTCCCCTTCCTCCCTGCATTCTCCCTTCCTGAACTTATACACATTAATCAGATCCCCTCTGAGCCGTCTCTTCTCCAGAGAAAACAGGCCCAGCTCACTCAGTCTCTCCTCATATGAGAGATGTTCCAGTCCCTTAATCATCCTGGTTGCCCTTCTCTGGACCCTCTCGAGAAGCTCCACATCCCTCTTATACTGGGGAGCCCAGAACTGCACACAGTACTGTTCACTTCAATTAGATCTTTGATTAAGTGCACTATTTTTCTTCCTAAGGAATTTTTGCACAAAGTGAACAATGTTTTGCACAAACTCTTACAGATTGTCCTAAATATAATTGTATCTTTTGGATTTGTAACCCTTTTCACTAATACACGAGCCCTATTTACTTACTTGCAATATCCAAACAATATAACCTACAGAGAAAACAGAATTGAAAATTCTTGCAAATCTTTTTTTATTATTTAAGCAGAACTCTCAAGGTATAGATCTCTTCAGAGAGAAATGTCATACAATGGTATTCTGAGTTCCTAATAAACAGTCATTTGCCATTAATGTTCTTCTCGGCTCCTAAACACGTAATCAATTTCTCAGTTATTTTACRGCTGCGCTAAAGTAAATCAAATTTTGGGGAAAAAAAAGTTTCTACTGATGTACATCAGAGGTATAAACAAACAAAAAATAACAAYCCTCACACACCTTATCTAGTCCAAGATCACGTATTATCTTCTTTTCCCAATATGGGCGACCAATTACACTTTTTATTCTAGTAACAAGGTGGATTTTATGTGGCTGCTCCGGGTCACCTCCATACTTTTCATGATCTTCAGGTCGTGGCTGAAATACCTAGATTAAGAAGTCCACAAGAACAYGGGTTTGGTTTGGTTTTCAAATACTTGAATGATTACTATTCCCCATGAAATAACTCAATTTGCACAGACACAATTGYACAGACATATGAGAGCAGCACGCTATATCTATACAGTACTTAATCCACGTGCACCTAGTGCAACACCTGTTCAATCTGTGAATGATTTTTTTTTCCTCAATGATTTCAGAGGGAAAAAAAGACCATATTTTTCATAAAAAYAAGCCAAACTGCACATTTAAGCAAAGCTCCCTGCCTCTCCGGCTGTTTAAACTCCTCTGTATCCGCAGACATCCGTAGAATGCCAAAGTAAGGCTGGAACTGAGACGCCTCACGTGTGTTTTCARTTTCCCAGCACCAACAGCACCTACCGAGTCAGGAATCCTTGACCTGGTGAAGAGCGGGCGAAGCCCCACGGCTCCCGGCACCGCGTCCACGCTCCTCCGCAGCAGCTACAAAAAACGAGGGCGGGAAAAGTAAGGTTTTCTGGAATGTGCTTTAGATCCCTTAGTGTTTGCTGAGGGATTCGACAAACACTCCAAGGGAGAGCGGCGCGTTTAAAGGCCGTGTTTATTGTACGTTGTGGGGGCTGAAGTGCGGGGGGGGGGGGGGGGGGGGGGGGGGGGGGGGGGGGGGGGGGGGGGGGGGGGGGGGGGGGGGGGGGGGGGGGGGGGGGGGGGGGCAGATGACAGCGGCTGACCCCCCCGCCCTCCCCAACGGCCGCTCTCCCCCACTTGCCAAGTGCGGAGGTTTGACCCCTCACGCGACCCGTAACCGCCCCTACCGCCACCCTCCTCATGGCGCCCGCGGGGAGACGGTGGCGGAGGGCCCCTCGCCCCCGCCCCGCGKCGCCGCTTGTCTCGGCCTCCCGCCGCTGCGGGCCGAGCGCGGGCGGCGAGGGGCGCAGCCTGGCGCTGCGTGACGCCCGAACCGCCCGCCCTGCCGCTACCTGTCCCAGCCCCGCCGCCATCCTGGCACGCAGCCTTCCGGCGGGGCGCAAGCGCCGCGGCACTTCAGTTCCGCGCGGGAGCCAGGCGGGGCGGGGGAAGGAGAAAAGTGGAACACTGCGCGGCGCTTCGGTTTCTGTTTCCCAGCGGTGATGGGGACGGGGCTGGTCGCGCATGCGCACGCGGGCGGGCGGTGGGCGCCTACGCGCGGCGCGGCCGTTGGGGCGACCGTTGGCGCGGCCGTTGGCGCCCATGTCGCAGGCGGGGGGCGATGGAGCCGCCGCGCTGGAGCGCGCCGGGGCCGAGACGGTGAGGCGCGCCGTGGAGCTGGACGTGGCGTCCCGCTTCCAGGAGTCGCTGGTGTGCTACCAGGAGGGCATCGACCTGCTGCTGCAGGTGGTGAAAGGTACCGCGCCGGGCAAGCCCCCTCAGGGGCCCTTCGGGGCGAGGGGGAGGCGAAACCTGCGGGTTTTAATGGAGGGTGGTCGCAGGGAAGAGCTTGGCTTCTCCGTATTTCYYTGCGAGGAGAGCTTGCTTCAGYGGAGGGGATGGAGCACAGACYTTAYGAGGAGCGGCTGAGGGAGCTGGGGTTATTTAATCTGGAGAAAAGGAGGCTCAGGGGAGACCTTACTGCTCTCTATAACTACCTGGAAGGAGGTTGTAGTGAGGCAGGGGTTGGTCTTTTCTCCAAAATAACAAGCGGAAATAGCCTCAGGTTGCACCAGGAGAGGTTCAGGTTACACATCAGAAGAATTTCTACATGGAAAGGGTGGTGAAGCACTGGAACMGGCTGCCCAGGGAAGTGGTGGAGTCACCGTCCCTGGCAGTGTCCGAGAAACAGGCAGATGAGGCACTTGGGGACATGGTTTAGCAAGAATGGTGGTGATGGGTTTATGGTTGAACTTCATTATCTTGAAGGCCTTTTTCAACCATAATGATTCTATGATTCTAAGTGTGTTTTTTTTTTAATCTCACAGCTACAAAAGATGAGGTGAAAAAGCAGCATTACCGGCAGAAGATATCAGAGTACATGACCCGAGCTGAAGACATTAAAAAATATATCAAAAAAGAGAAGCAAGGTATGGAGCTGTGACTTATCTATTTGGATTTATATTCCTGTCTGTACATAAATGCTTTATGCGCAAGATAGTTGACACAGGAATTATGTGGTGATGTTCGCTGAAAAAGAGACTTCCTTTCTTTTTTTAGATGGCAAATACCATAAGCAAATTAAGATAGATGAAAATGCAACAGGCTTCAGCTACGAAAACCTCTTCCGAGAGTACCTTAATGAGATTGTTACTGAAGTTTGGGTGGAGGACCCTTACATTAGGCATATTCATCAGGCAAGTAGATACAAGATGCAACTTACAGATGTAACTGCTAACAAAACTCTTAACAAATGTTACTGAATAAAATATAACTTTTACAGTTGTATAACTTCCTACGATTCTGTGAGATGCTAGTTAAGGGACCCTGCAAAGTGAAAACAATTCACCTCCTCACTTCCTATGATGAAGTAAGTGCCTATTTTTGTTTTCTATTTCCCCAAGGCCCAGGAGATGCTATGCATATATATATATATATATATTTATATTTGTACACACACACAGAACATGCACATATATTTCTATGTACACACACACATATGTTTTTATGTACCAGTATGTGGTACACTGAGATTCTGATATCCTCAGAAGAAACCACAGATTGAGAATTATGATATAATTGAACATAAATTATTTAATAAATCTATTATTATTTATTATTAATAAATCTGTTTTTACTAACTCCTTAACAGATTCTTTTTAGGAAGGATGATAATGGAAAGGATACTTTTGTGAAAGATTTGCAAAAATGTCATCAAAGCCAACACATCAATTGAGTTGTATTTGTTCTACTAACAGCTGTATATACTTGTAACTTTACAGGCTTTCATAAGCTTTCCTACTGGCACAGCATTTATTTTGATTCAAAAGTAACCTCTGTCTGCTTGAGCRGGACTGGGAGTAAGCTCTTCCTTTGGAGCCCTTTGTAATTGGGCTTTTAATCTGTCTGCTCTTTATCCTGGGCACAGAAACATAAATCTATCCTCATATAAGTGACTCTTGGGGCTTAAATTATTACTAAAAAGATTTTGTTGGTGAGTTAAGAAAGAAGTGACCACATATAGAGAAAGTAGAAATTTTGGTATAAAGTAAAAAGCGTAAGTATTTTTCCTTTTAACAGGGCAGTGGAAAAAATCAACAGATAAGTGGCTTGGAAGAAATAAAACAATCATTGAGGAACCATGGAGTAACACTGAATATCTCTTTTTCATCTTCAATTCATGATCGAGAAATTAGGTGGGTGATACAAGTGTCAGTGGATATCACTTATTAAAATCAAGCTGGTTATCCCTAACCTTTGTGTGCAAGTTGTAATCACAGTTGTAGTTCATGAAGTGGAAGGTAGTGGCCCTCTCCAGGTAAAGTCAGTCCAGCATCGTGGCGAATGGTCTAACTGGGAACCTGCCATGATACTGGGTGTCTGTTTCAGAATAGTGCATTGCACGTTTCATATGGATAACAGCTGCAATAGGAAATGTGACTAAAACAAGGAGCTTATTTGCCTTGTGGGTATAACTTTTCTGTTTAATGTATTTGTGAAGATGGGGTAAYGTGTGTTTTTCTTAAATAGATTCAACAGTGGATGGATGATCAAGATTGGAAGGGGACTTGATTATTTTAAGAAACCAGAGGTAAGAATGCTTTGCCTTTGGTAATTCCCTTATACTGCATAATAGCTCMTTTTATGAGCGTTATCACAGTGTTATCTGTGTTAATTCTGTTAATTTCTGTAGGGTCGTTTCAGCATTGGATACTGTGACTTTGACTTGCGACCTTGTCATGAAACAACAGTGGACGTCTTTCATACTAAACACACAAAGAAAGCATGATCACTACTTTTAAGGAATGTTTTTAGTGGACTGAGGAAATAAGACTATAACAAATGACTTGAATCCAGCTTTGCATCATTAGAAGCAACTCCCTAATACCTACGTAGTCCAGCACTGACCAGAGAACTTTTATAATCTGTGTTTTTAAGAATGTTCGAGCCTTTTCCTGTCTGAGAAATTCCAAGAGCTTTTGAGGAAGGAGCTTTATGACTGACCCTTAATACAGTCCCTGGAAAGCATTTTTTACTGTTATTTCTATTTTTACTATTGACTTCTGCATTTTTTCCCTTAGTTTCTTTAATTAATCACCTCATGAACATATGAGACTGGGCTGTAACTTCAGCCCCTCTTTTGTCACTGACGTTTTTATTTCCTGGATTCTAATCATCACTACGGTTCTCCTGTGTTCTASCTGATCCTATAATACTGAAATTCATACCCTACTAGGAATCCTAATTCTGACATTCACTTTTCCAAGCTCTTTAAATACAAACATTTTAGTGTTCAGTATAGTAGCTGGAGAGAGTGCAAACAACTTTTTTTTTTCTTTCCCCTTTTTTTCCCTCCTCTTCTTGTATGTTTGTTCCCTGCTGTAATGTCATCACCTGATTTGCATCCTTCACATCAGGCATGRAGAGGTTGCTTGAGCCTCTCCCAGTCTTTTTCTCTGACTTCTGACTAATCATGCCAGTCTGAATTGAAATAAACTATTTACTACTAAGATAGTCCCCTTAAAAACATGTTTTAATTAAAATAGTGGGATTTTTTTTTCAACRTCAGGTCTGATAAGTGCCTTATGCTTTCTGCAGCTTGTAATAATAATATGCCTGTCTGTCCTCGTAGAAAGCCCCCGTGATGTGCTCTCATACCTGATGTTCCCTCTCTTGCTTGTTCATCACCAGACCTGTCCGTGTTTCCTGTGCTTCCCTGCACTGARGGCTGGTGAAATCCTTGACCTGGTCCTTGCTTAATTCCTCCTTCAGCTCCCATGGGCTAGTGCTGCTGCTGTTCTGGGGTTACYTCTAACACAAATCTGTTCCATAGCTGTGAAGAAGCAGAGCTGGTCTTTGCCTTGTTCTCTGGGGCMCAGATTGCTAGTGGCCTGCTGTCTTTAGCCATTTACATAAAAATGTCTCAGCTTTGCACTGTTAGATGTTTTTTTTTTCCCCTTCTCCATAATATTGTCAGACCTCTGTTTGAAGGACCTAAGTGTTTTCATTTCCAGTCCCTCGATCTTTTGTAGAGGTTTTATCAGGCAACATTTTATTATCAATTTCTACAAGCAACTTCCTGTGCAGAGCCCTATCTGACTACTTCCTGTGTTAGTGCCGTGCTTGGAATTTCCCTTATTATTGCTCTATGTTCATTAGCCTTACCAAGGTAAGGAGGAGAGAGAACAACAAAATTACTGTACGCACAGAAGCTGTTTGCCATCAGTCTCTCCTCCTAAACATTCCAGAGAAACCCCTCAGCTTGGCGTGGTGATACTCGTTTTCCAGTCACTGTCATGAGGTTTTTTTTTCAGATGTGTATAATATATGCCTATTTTTTAATGTGAATAAAGGCTATTTTTATTATTTGTAGTTTTAGTCATCTTTACTTTGCTGTGCTACCCAGAGCAACACGTAGAAGGTCAGTAGTGCATCACAGGTGATCGTTTGTGGGCAAAGGTTCACTGTGTATTCAGAGAGTAAACTTCCCAAATGTGAAGCTCTAAGTGTTTTGACTTAGTCCAGCCATTTCAAGCATACAAGGGCTTAATAGAAAGATCCCTTACATATCCTTGATCAATTTTAAATTTTAGTAGTTAATTGGAAATGTTATACTGTATTATACTGTAGTTCAGTTATCTAGCTAGGGCTACTCATTTCCTTCCATGAACTACAAAGTTCAGATATAAAAGAAAGAACTAGACAGAGGAAGACTTTCCGCTGCTCAAGGAGGAGTGGGTTAGGGATTATTTAGGCAAACTGGATGCGCATAAATCTAAGGGCTCGGATGGGATGCACCCAAGAGTGCTGAGGGAACTGGCAGGGTTATTGCTCATCTGCTCTCCATCATCTTTGAGAGATCATGGAGAGCAGGGGAAGTGCCGGAGAACTGGAAGAAACCAATATCCCGCCAGCCTTCAAAAAGTGCAAGAGAGAGGAGTTGGGAAACCACAGCCTGGTCAGCCTCACCTCCGTCCCTGGAAAGGAGCAGCTCATGCTAGAGACCATGTGTGTGGAGGAAAAGAAAGTCCTAAGAGTAGTCTCCATGGATTCACCAAGGGGAAGTCATGTTCAATGAACCGGATAGCCTTCTGTGAGGGGAAGACTGGCCAGCTGGATGAGGGGAGAGCCATGGATGTTGTCTACCTTGACTTCAGCAAAGCTTTTGACACCGTCTCCCATAATATCCTCATAGGAAAACTCCAGAACCGTGGACTGGATGGGTGGAGAGTGAGGTGGATTGAGAACTGGCTGGATGGCAGAGCTCAAGAGCGTGGTGATAAATGGGGCCAAGTCCAGTTGGAGGCCAGTGACCAGAAGTGTCCCCCGGGGGTCAGTACTGGGCCCAGGGCTGTTCAACCTGTTCATCAGTGACCTGGACAAGGGTACAGAGGGCACCCTGAGCAAGTCTGCAGACAATACAAGGTGGGTGGAGTGGCTGACACTCCGGAGGGCTGTGCTGCCATCCGGAGGGACCTGGACAGGCTGGAGAGTTGGGCAGCGAGGAACCTCATCAGGGGCAGAGAGGATCAACGAGGACAAGTACAGGATCCTGGGGAGGAATAACCTCAGGCGCCAGGACAGATTAGTGGGTGACCTGCTGGAGAGCAGCTTTGCAGAGAGGGACCTGGGAGTCCTGGTTGACACCAAATTAACCATGAGTGAGCAGTGTGCCCTCGTGGCCAAGAAGGCCAATGGGATCCTGGCTGCATCAGGAGGAGCGTTGCCAGCCGGTCAAGGGAGGGGATCCTGCCCCTCTCCTCAGCTCTGGTGAGGCCTCAACTGGAGTATTGGGGACAGTTCTGGGCTCCCCAGTATAAGAGGGATGTGGAGCTCCTAGAGAGGGTCCAGCAGAGGGCAACCAAGATGATTAAGGGACTGGAGCAGCCATCTTATGAGGAAAGACTTAGAAAGCTGGGCCTGTTTATCCTGGAGAAGAGGAAGTTGAGAGAAAATTTGATCAATAGGTACCAGTACCTGAAGGGAAAATGTAGGGAGGATGAGGACAAGCTCTTCTCATTGGTGGCGAGTGACAGGAAAAGGGGCAATGGGTGTAAGTTGAAACACAGGCAGTTCCATCTTCATGTGAGGAGGAACTTCTTCACTGTGAGGGTGCCAGAGCCCTGGAACAGGCTGCCCAGGGAGGCTGTGGAGTCTCCTTCTCCGGAGATCTTCCAAACTCACCTGGATGCCGCCCTGTGCTCTGGGTGTCCCTGCTGGAGCAGGAAGGTTGGACTAGATGATCTCCAGAGGTCCCTTCCAACCTCAACCATTCTGTGATTGTGTGATTTGTGCCTGTGTACAGCTAAACCTTCAGTGTGGTACGAGCTGGCACTGCAGTTTTTATTTTTAACCCCCTGAATGCACCCTTCAGTAGCAGTGGGAACACTGTGTGTCGAGAGAAATGAACATCAGTGAGAACAAAAATCAAATAACCAAATATCAAAAAAAAAAAAAAAAAATCAGATATCACACCATTCTAAGGGTATGGTCCCATAATAAGTTTACTAATTTCAAGCCATGTTCTTCTATGCTGCTACTCACGCTTATGTGATCAGGTTGTCACCTGGAGGAACAGGATCTCCTAGGAGTAACGCCAGGAAGCCGAGCCCAGCTCTGCATCGCATAGTTGCTAATGCAGAACAGGCCCTGCCTCTTTCAGCTTAGATACCAGCAGCTGCGGCAGCTTTGTGCCGCGCAGCGCGGGTGCAGCAGGAGCTTCCTCTGCCCTCACCGCGTAGCCCCCGCGCTGCATCTCCTTGGGGCTCCCCTCTTTGGCATGGGCAAAGCCCCCATCTTGGAGGTCCCCCGGGAGGGAGGTCACAGGAACACTGCAGGAAAGGACTTCAGGCCAGAAAGGAAGGGAACAACCACCCATCCCACACAGTTCATAAGGGCTCGTGCCAGGCGCTGGGACAAGGCCTCCGAGCTACTTACCTGCAGGGAAGGGGGAATATGGGCTAGGAATCCAGTGCAGTGGCGGGTTTCCCTCTGCCTCGTCTTGTCTCCATCAGTCATTTGCTACTTCCTTTGCTATAGAGAATCGATTTGTTGCTGCATTAAACAACATTAGTGATTAGTGAGAGAAAATAAGTTCAGATTCCCCAGTGAATGTTTTAATTTTGTTTGCAATAAATTAGCCGAGAAAGCAGCAGAGTTTGGACCTTCAAGCAGAAGTCACATTAACATCCTCACGTTCTCACATAAAAGATTCCACTTGTGGCGCAACTCGTCGTCGCGGGGACACGTTCTTAGCCAAGCGCTTGCTAGCACGGTGACTTCATCCGGGCAAAACCTGGAGCCAGTGAGGCTCTTCGCCAGCTCCTGGCACAGGCCTGGAGGCAGCCACTGCTCGGGCACATCAATGTTACAGACTTCTATTTTCCCATGCTTTACCTCCATATCCACTTTAACTTGGAGAACAGAATCCTCGTAGGTCAGGTCGAAATACGTGCTAACGCTAAACTTTGGTGTCTTTCCATACACCCATTCCCAGGTTTGCAGTTCTTTAGTTTTCCTGTGAATTCCGGGCAGCACGGCCTCATCGGCAGGGTTTATCAAGGTGACGTGACGATCGACGTGGTGCCGCGCAGCGTATTCCTCGGCAACGGCCTCCAGGAGCCGCTCGCAAGTCAGAGCAGGGTCCTCTTCCAAGAGATTCCTCACCGCGGACGGCACGCTGGCAGTGGCGTTGCTTCGGAGCCCTTGATACGGGCTCTTGAGCACCGCAGACAACAGGGATTTGTCCGCGCCGCAGAGCAAGGTGCAGTGGTGATAGGCGGCCGTCCTGCCCAGCTTGGCGGCGGTGCCGGAGATCTTGTAGCGCCCGCCCAGCACGATGTCGTACCGGTCCGTGACGCGCACGTCCAGCCGCGGGCTCAGGGCCCTCAGCGCCCGCACCACCAGCTCCAGGTTGTCCATGCGCTCGTATCTTTTCCTGGACGTGAAGAAGGTCAGGTTGATATTGCCCAGGTCGTGGTAAACGGCGCCGCCGCCGCTCCTCCTCCTGGCCAGTTTTATGCCTTTCTGCCGCAGGAGCCCCAGGTCGCACTCCTGCCAGGGGTTCTGGTGCCTCCCCACCACCACGGCGGGCGCGTTCCGCCACAGGAAGAGCACCTGCCGGTTCTCCAGGCTCGCCTGCTCGTGGATCCAGTCCTCCACGGCCAGGTTCTGGTAAACGTCGTCCGAGAGCGACTGCAGGATGAGCCCCGCGCCCGCCGCGCCGCCCAGGGGCGCCCGGCGGCTCCTGAGCACGCACGGCCGCTGCAGGCAGCTCCTCAGCGCCCACGGCAGCGCCATGCGGGGCGCCCTTCCCGTCCCCACGCGCGGGGCGCCCACCGCCACCCAGGCCACGAGGCCCCCGCGCGCGCCCCAACGCCTTCCGGGTCGCGCGGGGCGGGGGAAGGAAAAGGCGGCGACACGCGGGGCGGCAGGGCGCGCCGGCGGGGCGGGGGAAGGAAAAGGCGGCGACACGCGGGGCGGCAGGGCGCGCTGGCGGGGCGGGAGCGACGCGCTGGAAAACCCGGACCGGAACAGAACGGAGCGGAGCGGGCCGGAAAGAAACGGAGTGGAGCGGAGTAGAGTGGAGCGGAGCCCGCGTGGAGGCGCTCCCCAGGCGCATAACTTGTCGCCGACTGAGGCTGGTGAGAGCCCAGCGCTGCGCCGGGGTGAACTGCTCTGCAAGACGTGGGGCAAAACGCACTGGGCGTTGCTTGTAAACACACCCGCCTCCCAGCGCTGCGAGCAACGGGAAATCAGCGCGCGAGGGAGCCGGAAGGGCGCCGGGATGAACCTGGATCCCGCCGCGCTGTCCCGGGGGAGAAGTGCACCCTGGGGGATTTCTCGTGAAAACAAACAAACAAATCTGCATTTGTTTACATTCTGGCACCTAGGTTTTGGAAATTTGCAATATGACATTTTCCGTTTTTGCCACGAGGTGTCACTAAAAAGCGTATTCTCGGCCATCGTGTTCCTTGTCCTCAAGCTGAGTGAGAACGGTGGGCTTGATCCAGGGAGTTCTTCCAATTAACGGAACCAGGCTTTGCTAGGAATGTAAAGTGTGCAGAATAGTAGGTGGAGAGTTGGAAATGTCTTGGATCTGTTTCTCAAGTGCTGGAGAATGAAATACAAATATTGATAAATACTGTTCCTGAAAAGTGGCTGTTGAAGACAAACCCAGCACAATGGGTACAAGTTTTCTATTAGTAAGCACAAAGTACACATTTACGGACAGGAATAGAAGGAATGTAAGGAAGTAAGAAATCTCGATGCTTAATTTTTTAATCTTTAAGAAGAATATTTTATTTCAGAATATTATGTGAATACCTTGAAGTAAATGATGAGAGGTTAACATAGGATGCTGTAGCAATTTAATGTATGTGGTAAAAACATGTTATATATAATAACAAACCTTTGTCAATGTTAAATATGTGTTATAATTGCCAGTTAATAGGTCTTGAAATAGAAATTCTGGTGGATTATATTATTAGACTTAGCTTGATGCACAAAAAGTAACACAACTGTTTTAAAGTTTAATGCTAACAGCATTAAACCAACATTAATGTTTACAAGAGAATTCCCCATACTTCACCTAGRGAAAAACACAGAGATTAACAGAACTGACTAAATATACGTAATTCCACTCCTAAAGTGCATTTAATGGGGAAGAATGTTGGGTAAAGTTATGAAATCTGAAATGCTATCCTTCTTTCAGAGATAAATACTAGATAATGCAGAGACTTGCCCTGATGATTTCCACCATAGCAAGGTCAGAAAGTAAGAGCTGCCAGGAACACCAGGTGGGGAGAAGGGAAAGAAAAAAAAAGAAAAAGAAAAAAAAATGTTTCTGTTGCTCCTTTTCTTGAAGTTCAAATTTCCCAGTATCTTCAYTGTCTTTGGGTGGAGGTTGTGCTTCAAAACGCACCTTCAGAAAGGGACGAGCTCTTTCTGCGAATGCTTCACGATGGCAGCTTGCCCAAAAAGCCATTTACCAGGTACAGTTTCCAGAATGTAAAATCTGTGCTAACACCTGCTAGGAAAGGAGAACATTTTTCTTAGCTTCTCAGCTTGACTATGGCACTACCCAAGGTAGCCTCTTTCCAACACTCCTATGTTTATATCCGTGCCAGACAGGAGCAGGTAGTAGGAATCACAGGATTCAATGACTCCTCCTTGCAGCCTCCTTACCCTGCCTTGTCACTTGCATTAAGGGCACCCTCCAAAAGGGCATGTGCAGGAGGGGTTGTGAAGTAGAGCTCCTACCTTGGGGCATAAGAAAACACAGGAAATAATGTATTTCATAAGATTTTGCTAGTGGGATAAAGAAAAGCACATAATTAGCCTTGCAGTGCCTTAACTTTTCAACTTTTCAATGTTTGTAAATTGCTCAGTAAGTTAGTCTTGGCGGTAAGTACCCTGGAAAACAGTAGTGAGCTCAGCCCAAGATTTTATCCTGTGTGGAAATATGTTTAACATCATGAAATAGGTGTAAAGTTAAAGGTGACAATATTTTATTCTGGACTGTACAACTTGTATGTAAATCTTATAAATCTTATAAATATATGTAAATCTTATAAATTGGATGAGGTTTGGAGATAAGATTTAATTAAAGGAAGGATGTTTGCCTGAGATTAAAGCCTTTCTTCTCTAACACTTTTCTTCCAGAGARATTTTATGTCATCTGCTAAGTTTTAATCAGTAAGAATGTCTGCTTGGATACTGCTAAGGAAAAAAAATATTAAGCACATATCCTGTGGTTTTATTGCACCAAAAGAAAAGGGATTCAAAAAGTGATTTTACTTTCATGTAATTGCTTAAAAGGATAGATGTGATCAGAGGGATTCAACTGACCTCTCTGTGTCTCTGTGTGATTGTCTTCCTTTGGTGACCCCCTCAAGGGACAGTTTAATATCAGTCTTTCCTCTGGGGCGATGAGCTGACAAGACATGACTTTTATCTCGGAAATGTTCTAATTTGCCAGCTTTGCTCATGCTGCCTTTCAGTGTCTCACTTTGAGTCTTTAGGGCTCATCCGGGATGAAGACTGCGCTGCAGCTGCGCAAGTGTGACCAGGCAGGCCTGAGTTAAAACTGGATGATTTAAGGGTGATTTAGAGTGAAAGATTTCCATTTGGACCAATGAGGTGAAATACTAAGTGTTTTCTTAAGGCAAAATATGCATATCTGTGATATTCACCCCTGTCTCTGTCTCCATTAGCAAATACCTATGAAGAATGGGATGGTTTTTGGAGCAAGAGGTTTTCACCTCTGTGAAGATCTGCAGCAGAAAAGTTTGGCTCCTSCTCTCAGTGAGATAGCAAAGTAGCAAGCAGTCCCTCAGCAGCAATGTGCCTGCAAAACTGAAAATAAACCTGGACACTTTGTCTTGAACTTAATGAAGTTTATTAGGAAATAATTCATAAATCAGAAACATAATTTCTCAAAGTTTACCTTTGAAATATACAACCTAAAWACCTGCCCAGGTCTAAAAAGTAGGAAGAAAAACCATTAAAACTTATATAAAATATAAGTTATTTAAAATACTAACTTATCTTAAATTCACAGGTGTGCTTATATCAGACTTATCAGAGTAAAACATTCTTCCCATTAATTTCATACATGACTTTACGGTGTGTGTGCTCTTACATGTTTTGTTCTCTGAGTCAGGGTTTTGTATGGGGTTTTTTTTCTTTTTTCTTCTCTCTCATTTAGCTTTGCTGCCAGCGTTTCAGTCGCAGGCAGCAACAGGCATCGCGGCCACCTTTGAGAGCAAGACCAAAGTGAACAGAAGCAGCCAAGCTGCTGTGTAACTGTGTCACCAGTGGAGATGACCCTCACAACCGCCTGGCTCCCGTCCCGCACCTCAGGGCGACGGCAACGGGACGAGGATTTCACGTTAKGCAGAGCTCCCCTTCCAGCGGCCATTGCCAGGACGGGGAAGCGGGTTGGGATTTGGGGACAGGCGCCTGCCGCGCTCGTGCGGCCGTTAACGGCGCGCGGGGGGCGGCAGAACGGGCGACCGTTGGGCGAGCGCGCGGCGGCCGCGGCGACCGTTGGGGAGCCCCGCCCCGCCCCCTCCCTGCTCCCCCCGCCCCCATCCCTCCCYCTCGCGGTGGCGGCGGGTGAGTGGCCGCTATCGGCGGGGAAAGAAGGAGGGAGGGAAGGAGGAAGGGGCGAAGGGAGGAAGGGAAGGAGCAGCGGGTGCCTCGGCTGTCCCCGCAGCCGCCGCGAGGACGAGGAGGCGGGTGGAGGTTGGCGGCCAGTGGCTTGGAGGGGGCCGAGATGCCGTGGGGATGGCTTGGAGGGGCCCGTGCTCAGCTTGATGCTTAGCTGTACCTATCTAGTGTGTGTTTCTTTAGGCACGCTCAGTGTCGTGCTGGTGAAATGCATTATTTTCAATGAAAAATCATAATTCACCTGTCCTGAGTAAGAATCACCTGCTTAGTGTATCGCTATGCATATATCTTTTAAGTATATCTATATGTATGCACACTTTTTAAAGGGAAGAGGGTGTTTTGCTATAGATGAGCGGCTTTCTCTGGGGCACTGTGAAAAGTACAGTTGTTTTTGTAGGATCAGCTGGGTTCACTTTAAAGTGTGTATCAGTAGTACTCTGAGGAAGAAGCATGAGGAGGAGTTGGAGGCCAGCGTGGGTTAAAACACATTGAGCTCATTGGGATACCATAGATGTGGTGGGATAGTTCGTATGGCTCGTGGGAGGGCTGCAGGGGGTGGAAACCGGCTCTTTAGGCAGGACTTGCCAGGACAGCGTGGAGGAGGAGATGTCCTTCTCATGAGAGAGTAGCTGCACTTCATGGAGTTCAGCCTAGGGCTTGCTAATGAGCCAGCTAAGAGCTTATCCCTGAGGATTAGCAGGCAGACGGACATGTTGTGGGTGTCTGCTACAGACGCCGTGATCAGAAAAAGAAGGAAGCCTCGTGTTCGCAGCCCCAGGGCCTTATGGAGGGCTTGCACCACCCTGATGTTTTCTGGAGAGACTACACAGCAAGGCACAAGCAGTTCGGGAAGTTTCTGGAGTGCGTGATGACAGTTTCCTGTGATAGGTGTTCAAGGAGTCAGTGAAGGAAGGTACTGTGCTCCACCTGATGCTTAGAAACAAGAAAGATGCAGCTGGAGATGGAGGATGGGGGCAGCTTTGGCTGCAGGGCCCCTAAGAGGGTGAAGTTCAAGCTCCTGAGAGGCGGGAACTTCAGGAGGGAAGACTTTGGCCTGCCCAGGGATCTGTTTGGAAGAATTCCACAGCAGACTGGCCTGGAGAGAAAGGAAGTCCAGGAGAGTTGGTTGATTTTCAGAGATCTTTCTCCAGACTCAAAATCATCCATACCAACGAGGAAGAAATCAAGCAAAGGTGGCAGGAGATTTTGCATGGATGAATTAGGAGTTCTTAACACAGCTCAGAGATACAGGAGCTGGAAGCAGGTCAGAGCGCTCAGCAGGAATACAGGGACACTGCCCAAATATGCGGGGTTGGGATTAGAAAAGCCTAAATCTGCTTGGGGTAAAGTCAAGTGAAGATCAACAGGAAAGGCTTCTATACATACATCAACACATAGGGAAAATGTGGCCTAGCTGCTGAATGAGGTGGAAGACCTCACGCCAAAGGACAAAAGAACCTTACGTATCCAGCACTGCCTATGCATCAGGAATCCTTTGTCTCTGAGAATACTTGGGAAGGCCTGGAGCAAGAAGTACTCGCCCCAGGTTAGGAAACACTGTCTGGATGTCTGCAAGTCCAAGAGATGCAATGGGATGCACCTGTGAGTGCTGAGAGAGCTGTGGTTGTAAGGCCCTTCTTTGTTAGCCATGAAAGGTCACAGCAGTCGCTGAGGTTCCCAAGAACCAAAAGAAAGCACCTATTGCTCTTGCCTGCAGGAAGGATGATCCAGGGAACTACAGGCTGGTCAGCCCCAGCTTCATCTCTGGGTAGGTGATGGAGCAAATCATCCTGAAACCGTTTTGAAGGCTATTAAGGACAAAAGGGTAGTTGGGAGAAGTCAGTGGGGATTTTTGAAGGGGAAATCATATTTGACCCGCCTGGCAGTCTTCTCTGATAAATGGTCTGTCTTGATGAGTGAGGGGAGAACAGTGGATGTTGTTTACCTTAACTTCTGGAGGGCTTTGAACACTCTCTCYTCTAACATCCTCATAGACAAAAGGATGAAATACAAGCCAGGTAAATGGGTAGTGAGATGGACTGAAAACTAGGTGAGCTGAGCTGCGGTTGCCTGTGAGGGTTGTAAGGCACCTGGAAGCCAGTGACTAGTGCTGTACTACAGGGGCCAGTCCTGGGGCCAGGGCTGCTTCGCATTTTTATTAATAGCATGGATAATGGGACAAAAAGTGCTCTCAGGAAGTTGTCAGATTATACTAAATTGGGAGAAGGGCCATATGAAATGGATGTGCTGCCATTCGGAGGGGCCTTGACAGGGAAAGAGCAAGTCTTGCACTGCAGAGAAATAACCCTATGCACCAATACATGCTGAGGGTGTGAAAAAGCAACTGAAAAGCCACTTTGCAGAGAAGCATTTTGGGCTGCATTGTGAAGAGTGTAGGCAAGAGGGATGTGGTCATTCTTATCTGCTCTTCACTGGTGAGGCTGCCTGTGCAGTACGGTTGTCCTAGTCTGGGCTCACCARTACAAGAAGGACATGAACATACAAGAACAAATCCAGCAAAGGACCAGGAAAAAAGGGAGGCTGAGTGAGTTGGGACTGTTCAGCCAGGAAAAGGGAGGCTCAGAGGCATACCATCAAAGTGCGTGCATATGGGATGAGAGGCTGTTAAGAAGACTCTTCTCAGTGGTAGCCAGTGACAGAATGAGAGGTACTGGGCACAGGAACAGGAGTGTTGGGCTATTTAATTTCCAGAGGTCYCTYCCAAGCTCAACTATTCTGTGATTCAATATAGACCTGTGTGTTCAGTTTCTGTTGGAAATGATTCTCAGTTAAAAAAAAAGCATCAATGGCCCAGCTTTGGATGGCTTTTTTTGTTTCATTTTTTTCTTGCTTCCATACTTATGGTTGGATCTCACAAGTTTTGTCACTGACTTTAGTGGGAGTAGAATTTAACCTTCATAAATACTTATTTCTAATAAATTTTCATGTACTAGAAAATAATGTCACATTCATTTTAGTGATTCTTTTTTGAGTGTGTGGGGTTTTTTGATGTGTGTGTGAGTTCTTTCTGTTTTTTGATTGTTTGAACATGTTATTTATGCAAGTGAAGTCTTTTTAGATGCCTGATAAAAGTCCAAGTAAATTTGCCTGAGGCAGGATTGTACCTCTGCAATTCTAATCATTTTCTATGTAGGATTTTAGAGAAAAGAAGGAAATTGTGAATCCTATATTTTAAATGATTTTATTTATTTTTGTATTCTAGGGTCTAACTACACAGTCTTTGACAGCATTGTTCAGAAGCACAGCGCACAGCAAACATTTCCTGTCCAGGAAGGTCCAAGTTTGCAAATACTTGTAGGCAGTGAAGCTAAGGGCATTAACTTACAGTATGTGAAAAAAAATCATTCTTTTCTTTAAAAGTACAAGCTTGCCAAAACACTGGAAGTAATTATACTGATTTCTATTCTTTCAAAAGGTAACAATAAAAGAAGACAACTTGGGTTTGGGAGAGCCAGTTTCTGAAAGTGAGAAATCTTCTAAATTGGAATGCTGGATTAAGAACGAAGACAAAATAATCCATAAATTGAATTTGAAGGTTCTGATTTACTTTTTTTTTTTTTTTTTTTTATCTGAATTCTGAAAATCTTCTGAAGAAAAGGGGTATCTTAAATGATTAATCCCAGAAACACTTGGGACCCCAATACAGTGGTAGCTACTAAATCAGTCTGAAAAAGCTATTAGCTGTTAAATCTTTTGGTCATGCTAAAAACCCTGCTGCAAGGGCCATGTAGCGCTTTGGGAAGCTTAGAGTAGTCTTAATGCAAAATGTCATCCTGTGAGGGTTGGATGCAGTATTACAGTTCAGAARGTGGTGGCTAAATGTGTTACTTATCCTAGTTAAATCCACTTTGTGCCAAGCATAAAAATAGTTATTTTAGAAAGTATAAATATTATCATGTCTTTCAAAAAAGTTCTCTTTCACTAGGTGAGTGAAAATTGTATTTTGAGGAAACACTTGTCTATCTATGAATCTGAGTCCTTAATGCTCAGTGAGATGCTAAAGGTATTAAAAGCTTAAAAGTTGCAATTCTCTGATCCRTCCTGTTTCGTTCCTGGGAAGACTAGAGATGCGCATAGCTGCAAAAAGTTGTCAGCTCCTCTTTCAGGGATAGTAGAATATCAGGCTGAGGTTCACTTCATTTAATTTGTTGCAGCAACAGTAATGTTGTGTGTCCTAGAGGTAACTAGGCTGTCTTTATTGGCAGAGGAAAGCAATAGGTGTTTCTGTGGCATGATTCATTTTAGGGTGTTATGTGTCAAAGGGATCATGTGAATCACATTCTAGAAATGCTTCTTGTAAATACTCAAAGTCAGCTGAATCTTATTCTTAAAGAATGCTGTCACATATGTGGGTGCTTAAAAGCCTTGAGGCTGATAGGCAGGCTTAGGGACTGAGATGTGCTTCAGATGAGGCTGAATGTGATAGTGGTGTGACTCGGTTCACTAAGTTTCCCAGAAACCTTGGAATATGAATGTGGAGAAGAGCTGTTGTGACCATGCTGGTGTTCATACAGAGCTTCAGTTGGCAGAAAATTGAGTGCTCATATTCTCTTGTTAGATCTATTGCCTGCTTTCTCTAATATCAGTAGCAGACTGACTCAAGTGTTAAATAGCCCTGTGAACAGTGTGGTAAAAAGCAGTCAAGGCATCTGTGCTTGTATGACTAGTGTAGCAGAGGTGCATTTGCAGTCACCCTGTCTCACTTTGGCTCTCTCATTCATTGCTCTGGGATTCATCACTGTGACCTAATTTGTCATAGTTATTCTTAGCAGCCACAGAGCTCTRAATTTTACCTTGCATTTTTATTTCAAAGAGTTTGTAAAGTTGTGATGAAGCATAGGCTGTAGTACTAGGATGATAATCAGCTTCATATCCTTATCTTAAGTCGGATACTGCTGTCTGACTCTGGAGGCTGAATGGAATTTGTGCATACAAAAATGTTTCTGACCTTATTTTCTATTTGAAAGCATCCTGATAGATGGAGATAATTTCACAGGTTATGTATTTGTGTCTTATTGGTATGTATTCTTTTACTTTTAGAAATAAATTGTGTGTTTTTGAGTGCTGTGCTGCTACTGGTATAGCAAAACAGAAAGGAATGCTGTAAATAGTACCATTCTCTTTCTAAGTTTATATTGCTGGAACAGACTGTCATGAGCTAGGACAGAGTGCAAAGACATGACAGAAGCAAAGGTWATTTGAACTTCATGGTTTCTGTTTGTTACGAATTTTTTTGGATAGTATGCTGTTAGATTTTGAGTCTATAAAACCTTAAGTGATTTGTGATTTTTATCATCTTAGACAAAGCATGTAATGTAATGTTAAGGCATGTAGTTAGTTAAAGAGTTCAAGTTGAAATTCCTGTTGGTATGAAGGAGACTAAATTGCTAAGAGAGTTGCTGAATAGTTTTTCTGAAGGATAATTAATTTCTCAGTAGTCTAAGTATGGTAACTCTGACACTCCTAGCAGTCATGGTTATGGTATTGCTATATATTGCTATAATATTATTGTTCTAGTAACAGAACTGTAGTGAATAAGGTCTTCAGAGACATTTCCTCTCCTACTACTATCACAGAAAAACTGTAGCAACAGCTCAGCTTGAGAAAATGACTGTCAGTCTGCAATATTGGAAGCTGTATCACACCTGAATCCAAAAGGGGGGTTATGTTGTGTGTAGAGGGGACACTGCAGAAAGCTGCTGATCAAAGCCTGAAAAAAAATTGTAAGTTACTTAATTTTTTATCATGAAGATAAAGGATCTAACTGTCCAGTGTCTGGATCACTTCAAAGTTAATATATTCAAAATAGATTAATCTAATTAAATAGATTAAAATTTTTGATTTGTTAATAATATGTACCTTTTTTTTCTCAGTAAGTTAAAGCAAACAGACAAACCAGTAAGTCTAAATTAGTTTTCATTATGAAATACTACCTGCAAATCCCTGATGATGAAGTATAATTCTTTATTCCTCCTCATCCCAGTAGACTGAAAATCTGAAGAAAAAACATGATGTAAGGACAATACGTCATGCAACTACATGATTGGAAGGAGGTGRCTCCAAGTCAAGTGGACAGTTTGACATGTAAAAATGACCATCTACCTGGTCTTAAACAATTTGCTGTAATTGACACACTGTCTGAGCATCTGGAAAAAGAAAAAAAACTGCTGTTCACTCCCACTGATAAGACTGAGGAAGAAAAGGTATCTATTCATTAGAATTAATATTGTGGAATAGACCTTTGGGGCTGAGTTTCTAAAATTCATCTCTACTTTCAGGATTACTTGCTTGGAGGAAAGAAATGGAGGTTCTGTGCTTTTTTATTTAAATAATAAATAATGTTTGAAAGATGTAAATCTCATTTGTGTTTGGAAGAATGTAATTTCAGTCACAGCTGCTTTTGATTTCATGAAATGATGGAAAATTGCATTTTATGTACATGCAAGTACATGATTTACTAGTAAAATTCAGATGGGAGAAATGATGTCCTTTGCCATTAATGCAACTACATACTTATTTCTTTATTTCCTACATGTAGCCAGGCTGTCCCATTTTCAAGTTTCTTGGTAAAACAAATCTGGGAAAAGTTATCCTATGCTTTCTTTTTCTTTCACTTGAGTATAACTCATCATATTCTTTTTTTTTCTTGGACTGTATCTAAAGACAAAAATCAAACTGATCAATTAAGTTTACTATTGCTAAACAACATGTTTTCAGCTTCGTCAAACTAGAAAGTATGTCCAAAATTTTCCTTCAGACTAGAACAATTAAGCTAAAGTGCTAGAATTGCAGTAATGTTTATTAAAAAAAAATTAATGTTTTTTTTTTTTTCCAGATTCAGGTTATTTTAGAAACAGAAGTTGAAAAAAAGCAAGGGAAATCAGTTTCAGGGTTTGATACCTTAATTAAGACACGGCAAGGGGACAGAGACTACTGTAAAAGTGAAGCTGAGAGTTTGCAGAAGGTTCTTAGAAACACATCTTCAAGACTTAAGCAGAAGCCTAATTGTGGCAGAATGTCAAAAAGATTTTCAGCCATCCAGGTGAGTTTGGAAAACACTGTAGGACAGGATTGCCTTTTTTTTTTTTTTTTTTCCCCTCCTCCAAGGTTCCTTTACATGATGCCAAACTACCACAATCACACTGCCAGTATGAAAACCTAATTGACAGAAGGTTGCATATGATGAGAAACAGCAAATAACTTGTAGTTAATTGCTGCTTCACTGAAAAAGAAATATATGAATATCATTTAAATATTCAAGATGATTGATAGTACAATTTTGTGATGACCTTTTGCCCTTCCAAATAAATGTRTATTTTAGAAAATGGTAAAATGATATGTATATCTGGACTCTAATGCTAAGAAAGATGTATGTACAGCCTTGATTGTCTTTAATTTTTTGAGTTGTAGGCTCGTTGAATCTTCTATAGAAATTTCCAAACCAGAAATACTAATAAAGTGTATGACATCTTGTTTTTCTCTACTTTAACCTTACATAAAATTCTTCTTTAAGGGAGCGAGTTCTGACCCAGAAGTTATGAAAATATTGAGAGAGTGTGAAGAACATAAGTCAATACTGGAAAAATATGAGCGCCATGTGGCAGAAATTCAGGGTAACATCAAGGTTTTAACAGCTGAAAGAGACAAAATTATCAATCTTTATGAACGGGTAATTTTATTTATATTAGTGTGACTAATGAAATAACTTAAGGTGATGTACAAGCAAAAAAAATTTTTAATAGACTGCAAGGCATTTCTTTAAAAAAAAGTTCTGAAAATTCTGTGATTTAAATCTCACTTAAATACAATTTTATGAGGTTTGAATAAGAATTCTTTCTTGAATCAAAGAATGTAGCTATTTATTTTGGTTTTTTTTTTGCTATCGCCCAATTTCTGAGATGCTCTGTATTATCAGATATGTATTTCATTACGCATTCCAATTATAATTTTTCCCCATTCCAGAAGATTTCAAAATTTTGAGGTTCAAAACAAAAACATTTCTACAAAGCTGAAATGGTATTGAAAATATTACTTAACAGTCTCATGAATACTGCAGGTTATCATTTCTTTGCTCTTTTTCTCTGCTATAAACCTTTTTCATTGTTAAATACGAACTCTTCCGTGATGTGAATTAAAAGGATAATCATCAGTGAAGAAAATGCTTATTGCTTTGTGCAAGCTTTCTGGAGTGCAAATCCATTTTTACTTAGTAGTTCTGATAGATATTCTGTAACCAATCCTGTCCGTAGTTTATGTACACAGCAACAACTTTCAATGGCTACTGCATATTTCCAGTATGCTGTTGTTTTTAATAACAGGCACAGGAAGAGATATCCCGCCTTCGTCGGGAAGTTATCAAGTGTCCCAAGGCTACTAAAAACACAGTGACAGCTCAAGCTATCCTAAGGCGCGTGGAGACGGAAAGGGATACGGCGCTGTCTGATTTCCGAAGAATGACTACGGAACGCGATAGCCTCAGGGAGCAGTTAAAGGTTTTCTTTCACTCTAGCTTATTTTAACATGAAAGTTATTTAGCAGTGTAATTAGAAATACTGAAGATTTCTGTTCTAGTATTGAGAATTAATTACATTATGTGTCTGTGGTGAGTTCTGACTTGTTCTGTATGTGATTTATTTTTTGTTTTAATTGGTATTTGCAGATTTCCCAAGAGATTGCATTTAACGAGAAGGCTCACTTGGAACAGAGAATTGAAGAGCTGGAAATAACAGTTCAGAATGTAAGGAAAATTGGTTATTTATGAAACTATAAATGGGATACAGATGATATTCATGGTTAACCTTGGAGGAACAAACTGATGGAGTTCTATTATGAAATGACTGGTCAAAGGGAAAGCAGTGAATGTCATTTACTTATACTTTAGCTTTTCTCACTGTTTCCCGCAGCTTTTTTGTATCTGAGTTAGGATGTTGTGGTCTGGATGAGTGGACAAATAGTTGGGAAAAAAACTTGGTTATCTTAGCAGGTTAATGGTGTGGATCATATTTTGCCTGGATGCTAGTAATGTGGAGTACCAGAGGGTTCTGTCCCCAGGCCTGTCCTCTTGAATGCCTGCATCAATGCCCTGAAGGAGGCAATGGACTGTGTGCTTGCAAAACTTGCAAACTTGCGAATGACAGGGAATGAAGGAAGTCAATCAGTGCACTCAAGAGCAGAGTTGCCATCCAGAGGTACCTAGGCAGGTGGGCAGAATGGCCTAGCAGGAACCTTATGATATTCAACGAGAACAAATGCCAAGTTGCCTGTCTGGGAAGGAAGAGCCTCTGGCTTTGGTACATGCAGGGGTGAGATGGCTGGAGAGCAGCTATTCCAAGCAGGCCCTGGGGATCCTGGTGGACGGTGAGCTTCTTGTGAGCCAGCAGTGTGCTCTGGTAGCAAAGAAGACCTAGAGAACACTGAGCTGCATCAACAGTACGGTAGACAGTAGATTGAGTGAAGWGATTATCCCCCTTTCCCCTGTACTTACTGTGTACTACATCTAGAATTCTGTGTTCAGTTTTGCTACCACCAGGACCAAAAAGATATTGCCAAATTGGAGTGAATTCAGGGAAGGACCCCCTACATGGTAGGGTCTGGAGTCCCTCTKGAGCCGTGTGAGAAGTGGCTGGGAGAACGGGGCTTGTACAACCTAGGGAGGGTTACAGGGGTGTCTAAGAGCCAACTGCAAGTACTAGCCTGTCAAAGACAGAGCTAGGCTCCAGCCTTGCAGATTTTCATGACCTGCATGGATTAAGTTGTGAGCAACCTTGTCAGACCTTAGAGCTGGCTTAACCTTGACCAGGAGGTTGGATTAGAGACATGCTGTGGCACCTTCCAAGTTGAATGAGTTTATGATSCTGTGTTGTGAAGACCAGATCTGTAGCTGTACAGCTCTGACAAGTCATTTTTAAGTAAAAATGGTTTAAGTTGCTTGTAAGTGCAAGTAAAAACTAAAATATATTAACAAAATACATGTAGATATTAAGTGTGTATCTCTAGATCTTATTTTTTTAAAAAGATAAATGGGTTTTTTTTGGAATATCTCTTTCTCCTAGATCGTGTGAAATTCTGGTCACATTTGTGTTTTCCTTTCAACCTGTTAAATACTACCATGCTTAAAAATCTAGTTCAGAGATTATAATATTAAAATATCTGCATCCATAATACAATACATTCTAGCTTTAAACAGTTCTGAGTGCTCTGAGCAGTAAATTAGCTTTAATCATGTACTTCATATATGGTATGTAGTGTATTTTGGAAATAGTTCCGCTTTAGCTACATTTTTTTTCTGTCTTCAGTTCATTTGGTAACATTAGAGGGTGATACTTCAGTATTGATGAGTGCCAGACTTTTTTGTACTAGGGCATAGTTACAAATTTACATAAATAAACCTAAATATTCTAAAGATCTAAAAGCTATAGGCAATGGTTCTACTTGAAGGCAAAGCGAGAATTACATTTCAGTTTTGGACAGCTGCTKTCATCAAGCTGCTTGAATAAGGCAGGTTCCTGCAGAGCTCTCCTTCAATAAAACTTTTGTGGTAAAAATAGAGTAGAAGTTAAATGAATAGGAGAAGTGCTCTATAGATGTCATTTTTTTTGCAACTTTTAATGTTTAATTATATTTATAGCTAGATAGGGAACGGCTAGAACAAATGTCCAGACTGGCATTAATGAAAGACACTGTGGAGTCTTTGGAAACAGAGACGAAAACATTGTCAGGAAGAGCATTGGACTTGGAAACTGAATTGAGCCGACAGAAAGTTGAATATGTTTCACTTAAGTAAGTAAAGATATATAATTACTTCARTTTATTGAATAACATGAACTTGTTGGGTTTTGTAATTGTTATTCAGGTCAAAGCAAAAGGAAGAGATGTTGGTTGTCCTTATGAGTCATTCCACTTTTTAAAATGGACTTGCTTTTCTTATGCCTTATTTACATGTAACCTCTCTTGGCTTTCTTATATTCCAGACATGCTGAAAAACACCTTTAAGTGAAAAAACAAAATTCACTCYAACTCAGCCTTCAGGAGTTCAGTTACATGCTTAACTTAGTTAGTTTTTTGATATGATTGAGTAGGCATTTAACTTTTTTTAATATAAATTGTTTTCAATATTTTTGTTTGTTTTACAGAAGCAAGTAAACATACTCAAACTAAAAGCTTACATGTTTAGTTAGCTTCAAACGTCCTTTTCTCAGTCTCTGCTTCTTTTCAAGAAGATGAAATTAACTGAAGTCTCCCACAAGGTTTACAAGCTGCTGCTAAATTGGTGCTCCTAACCATGATTAGGAACACGCAGTAGGACCAGACTCAAGTGAAGCCTTTAGACAAGGTGGTCAGTGAGTGCAGGATAGAAAGGAGAATTTACTTAGCAGAGGTGAAGATCAAGGTGTTTGYTTGCTTGCTTGTTTGTTTTGATATGTTTAAAACAGGTGGACCGAAAGAAGAAATTTTACTTAGTTTTTTTGTCATCTGTTGCAGAAATATTCAGACTTCAATATGAAAGGATTAAGGTTAAACACTAATGAAATATCCTAAATAATATAAAATATATAGAAGAACCTTGCTTTTTCTTAACTTTCACCATCTTAGTGATATGCCAAAAAGGAAGTCATATGTGAATGTCTGGATTCTGTTTAATACTTTTTCTTTTCCAGTTTATTGAAAGAAAAGACAGAACAGAGTCTTTCAGAGTCTAAGCAAAGTCTTGCTAAGAAAAAATATGAGCTACAACTTACCCAAGAAAAAATTATGCTTTTGGATGAAAAAATTGGTGAGTGTCAAATGCAATTGTTTTAATAAGATTATTTAAACTAATTGGTGTGTGTGTTTATTTTTTTTTCTTTCACTTAACATAAACATAAAAATGTTTGTGGAGAAAAAAAGGCAGAATATATGCTGTATATTATGTCCCTGCACGTCAGAGAGAGAGGTGATTTTACTCTGAATATTTTATCTCCTGGAAGGAGTTAATAAGTGTAATTTGATAAGCCTAATTACACTGAAGCCTTTACAAATTTTTTTAAGAGGTGATGAATTTTGTTTTAAAAGCCATGTTTGTTTATTTTTGCCATGAAGTTCAGTTGAATCAGTCTCAGGAAAAGCAGGCAAACGTCAGGATATCCATCTCTAAATTTTCATGTCAGTCATTAYAGGCTGAGATTTATACATTGCTGTTGTCTATTGCAAATCTGTTTATTAAGTTCTTTGCCGTTACAACACCTGAGAAAGTTATTTTTTAATGATGTGAACATTTGTTGTCTTAATTAAAATAGATTGTCTTGAGCCAAATGATTTAAGGTATTGATGAAATAAAGAATGCAGTTCTGTAAATATCAGTAGTTTTTTTTTATGTATTTATGCAAAAGTAAATGCTTCAGTGTTTTCTTGAAGGAGAGCTTTCATTTTGTATGTGTGTGGGGGGTTGTGTGTGTGTTTCTTCTRTTTTGTCATTATCTTTGCTGCAGGAGTATATCACATAATTTTTATTTCCAAGYGGTTGAATTGGGTTAATAAAAAGGAAACCTTTTTGCTTGTGTCCAGATAATTTTTCAAAACAAAGTCTTATTCAAGAAGAGGAAATCAGCGCTTTGAAAGCAACAATTGCACAACTTGATAAAGAAAAGGAAACTTTGCAAGACTGTGTAAAAGAACGAAAAAAAAAAATYGCTGTTCTTGAAGAAAGCCTGACAATTAAAGTACGTTCTAATGTATAAATMACATGTGAACAAGTTACAGCACTACAGAACATAAATAACAGGAGGATCTGTTTGGTTACCACGTCTGTCCTGAACTGGTTAGCTACAGTAGTGCCCAGTACTGGCCTTTTTCTGCTGCAGTTTGAAGACAACAATAAAACTCATTTTAACTTAAAAAACAATTAAGTCTGAGCTATGTGCATGTCCTATTTGGTAGGCTCTCGTTTTCCTGAAATGGAGAAGAATTTTAAGAGTCCTCTTGTGACTCTTTAAAATGAAGAATTTAAATGAAGAATTTTAAGAGTCCTCTTAAAATTCATCCCAAGTTCTTTCTTGGGGTCCATTTACATTAAAGAAGTACCAAATGGTACTTCATTTGTTGTCACCAAAGTTGCATTTGTATGAGATGCTTTTTAACCCTAAGGGCTAAAGATTGCGTCAGTTTATTGTACAGTATGAATTCAAACTATATAGAAAGCTGCTTTTAGTTTTTAGTCTGAGATGTTATCTATCACTTCAGCTCAAGTCCTCTGGATGTTGTGTTAAGCTAAACTAAATATGGTACTTTTTACCTTTTAACAAAGTTGCATAAAGAAACCATTTTGCAGAGTGGACCGTAATCATCTCGGTTTGTATTTTAAAATTGTAAAATGGGGTCCACTTTAGAGAAGAGATAGCTATATCTCTAATATTTCTTTTGTTGCCAATGAAAAACATTTCTTTGTCTCCGCTTCTTTTAGTATTTTTATCCAAAGGCAGTGAAATGATATACTTTGTGCCAGCTTCCTTATGAAAATATAATGTTAAAATTCTTGTTTTGTAAGTTAAAAACTGATAGTTTATTCATTGTAGAAAAGCCACAGGGACTTATCTGACATAAGATAACATTTAGTTTTGGGAGAGTGATCCAAATATTACTTTTAGAACTACAAAGGATAAAGAAAATTAGTTTTTGAAGGTTATAATTTGCAGAAGCTAATAATACTTGTTCCTTTATTTGYCAAAATAGATTATCAGAATTTTCAACTCTAAACATAATAAAGCTTGGAATAGGGGAATCGTTTTTGTATTAAATAGTTAAAACAAGCTGAAAAATAAAGCAATTAACAGAAGGAAAGCATATTTAGACATTTATATTTATTAACTGCAAAAGATTTTTTTTAAATTTATTTCTTTTTTTTAAGGAAAAAAACATTTCAGATTTCAAGGTTCTGATTTCTGAGTTGGAGCGTTCTGCAAAGTAAGACTAAGATTTCAAATTCATTTAAAATTGTAATTAATTTATGACATTTATAAAAGTACTAACTCAAAAATCGAATCCTAGAGTGTGCTAATGAATGGATTTGGGGTTTCTTTAAAATACTAAAATGTTAAAACTATATTTCTTTTTTTGGAAACTTAACTACTGGAAAAGCTGTTATTTGTATTAGGTTGGGCTGTATTGCAATACCTGAAATATTTATTATTTGCTGCATAGAAAATCTGCTGAAGCTCTCTGTATCTGTGAGCAAGATATCGCCAGTCTGCACCAACAGCTAGAAGAAGCCAATGATGAACTTGCCCAGAGTAAGAAGAACAGAGAATCACTAGCTCAGGAGAATGACAGGTTACAAGAGCATCTTTCTAATATTAAGCAAGAAAATCAGGTATATCTGTATATTAAAAAAAAAAAAAAACCTAAAAAGGAAAACTGTAAAACTGTGTATTGTTCAAGTAATGCATAGAACTTGTGGGCTGTCATATGGAAATATATCTGCAATCTAGTTTTAACCTCATTTTTCATACTCTGAAATACCCTTACTTTTCAGCGTGCTTGTATAAAGAAGAGCTATTTTTATGTAATGTTATTGATATTTATCTTGAGGACCTGATATTTGTCTTGAGGACCAGCTAATTAATCTTTAAATAAAAATCACTGTGGCAGTTACGACCCGTGCTTAGATGGAAAGCACTATAAGGAGGCAGAAGGTGTATGCGCCTGTATGTGCCTTTAAAAATCTAGTTAATAAACCCATAAAGTATGCACTAATGTACTAATGAGTTATGGATAAATTATGCACAAATTCTGCTTTTTATAAAGATACAAACTCAAATCTGTCGTTACAGGTGCTCTATAAAAAACTAGCAAAGTACCAAAATGAGCTTGATGATGTGAAGTTGAAAGTCCAGGATTCAAACAAAGATATTGTTAGGCTGAAGGGCATGCTGAAGTCTAAAGTGAGTGTGTAGATTTTACTCGTTAATAAAAGCCATTGTTTTAACAAAAATGAAATTTTAACTATATATTCATGGAAGATTTTGCTTCTTAACTGAAACTTATTTGAGTTACGCAAGTACAGGTATAATAGTTTGAACACGTTTTCTCTGGCCATTTTTGCAAAGCACCGATAAAATATATTTCACAGATATATCTATATATTTTTCTCTGTGCACATATGTGTATTTGTACTAAACTTGAAAAGTGGAGYGAGCATTTGGGAATGTTTTGTCTTTATTATCATGTGGCATTAATAACACATAAAATATTTCTGCAATATATTGCTATACCTACCTTTTTTATGTTAATTTAACTATTTTTAACAGTTATCTTGAGCATCAAAATATGACTATCATAAATAAAACACTGATTCCTGAGAAATCTTAGATGTTGTATTAGATTTGCCATTTAACAAAAATTTTTCAATAGGGAGAGATAAAATCTAATATTATCTCCTACTTGTAACCTATGAATATTCCAATTTATTCAGGCTTATTGAGAATAATTAAACAAATGAACTTTATGTTTTAGGAGAGAGAGAACTGTGAGCTCTTGGAGAAATACCACRCAGCCTGTGAAGAAGGAGAAAGCTGGGAAACCAAATGCCATCAAGCAGAGGCTGATTGCAGCTCTGTTAGACTGGCGTTAATCAGCGCAGAATCCGAGAACCGCAGGTTGAAAGAAAGAATCGAGTCCCTTGAAATAGATATGGAACAAGTATGTTGAGATCGTTCTTTCCATAGGTCACACTAGAAATGGTCTGGTATATATTAAGAGTGCAACTGTTTGAAATTAGGTAGGCTTAACACCACTTCTACTCATATTTTAGAGATAGTTGCTAAAATGAACTGTACCTAGTTTGTGTTGATAATATAAACTAGAATTCCACTAGTCGCATTAGATGTGACTAGTTAGATTAGGCAGCATTAGATGTGATTAGTTAGATTAGGCAGCAGATCATATCTGCTTTCTGAATATTGTGTATATTGAGAACTAGCCATGCACATTAGATACTCAAAAACTGCCCTGTTGCTACTCAGATAAGGGATGAAGTCATAGCAGTAGMCAAGCAGCACAGCAAGATTTTATTGCAGTCTAATAGTGTTTGAGTCTCATAGAACTGGTACATAGTTTTATTTTGTCCAGGTAGCSTCCAGTGGGAAGAGATTTCATCTTCCTAGCTCCTTCCAAAAGAGGTCTTTTTGTAAAAGAGCAAAGAGGTCTCTTTGTGAAACCCGTTTCAGTTAACTTAGTCAGAAGTCTAGGTAGAATTGTGTGTCAGACATATCTTGGAAGCAAAAGATTTTATCATATAGTTTTGTTTTATAAAAAAAAAAAGATCTTGATATGGAGTTGATCTTGTACATGCTTAGCACTGCCTTGTGCAATTTGTACTTTTTTATGACATAAGTTTAGTTTCCAAAACTTGAACATTGGCAGCATAGCTGGAATTAAGGAGATAGTCCCCGCATGATCATCGCTTTTTGATCTTGCATCTGAGAAATCCTTTAAGGAAGACACTGTGCTTTATCTCTCTCTCAGCTTTTGTCAGTCTTCCAGACTCATTCTGCCACCAACTGAAAATTAAGAGATGCAGTGATCAGAAATTCAACTCRGAGTTGCTGGAAAAGTATAGGCAATTTTTGAAAAGTCTTTGTTAATGTAAAGATAGAAAAACCTAAATTTCTCTAGACAGAACTACTGCTGCTAGCTTGTGAAGTTCTTTAGTGTGACTTCTGTCATCTCTCAGTCATGCCTGATTTTATCTATGGCAGTGGTACAAGTATTACTGACAGGATCTCTGCATTCATTGCTCTTCTGCACACAAGAATGTATTTTATTACTTAAATAAGAGGGTCTATTTTGAAACTAAAAAGGGGACCATAGGCAGGGACTTAGAACCTTATTAGGCTCTACAGACAAAGCAGAATCCTGGGAAGGGAGATGGAAATGTCAGAAGCTGATTTTGCTGTTGGAAGCAAAAATTCTTGTTTTTAGTCATTTTATATGTGGGAGTTTATTTAAAGAAAAAAAAATTAAGTTTAATTCATAATAATTACTTCTGTCTCTTCAAATTCACTGCAGGTATATAGAGATTTTTTTAGGATACAGGAAACAGCTTTGTGTTTTCTTTGCTGTACAATTTTCATTATGTGACAATGCTTGATTACAGAATTTAACAACAGAAAAAGCATACAAGGCTCAAATTTCTACCTTGAAAATGACTCTTCTGAAAATGGAAGGAGAGCTTCAAAACTTACAGCGAGAGAAAGTCTCTATCCTTGCAGATCTCAAATCTACACAAGAACTTTGCATCAAATTGGATACTGGCAAAGAACTGTTAACCCAGGAGTTAACATCCAGAGCAGAGGAAGTAGAAAGGGTATGTGAAATATATTCTAAAAACAATTTTATATAGAAGATCATGCATGTGCACTCATAAAAAAAAAAAAAAAAAAAAAAAA